GTGGTGGTGGCTTCACATCCCAGCCTGATCTTTGACTTTTATTCCAGAGACCCTATAGGAAAGACCACAGGGTATATGATGGGGTGGGGACTGAATACAGTCTCACAAATGCAGTGACTGAGTCCTGTGTTGAGCACAAGGTTGACTCAGGGAGCAGGGCAGAGATGCATCTAGAGGAGACCTGAGTCTCTCTGACCTACAATCCACCCTTTAATTTTCTTTTTTTAACACAGAAAATTAAGAGAGAATGTTCATAAATACACATATTGATCTATAGAGGGAAATATCACATCAATAATGCTAGTACTACAGATTTATTTTTAAATGTTAGGAGGGAAGGTGGTGGATTTAACATAATTACTGTATAATTTGACTTGAAATTAAGTCCATTTAAGAGACATTCACTGAATGTATAAATGAAGGAGATGAGAACTATAGAAAACAGGAGACACGTATCTTGCATTCAAGACACCTCCACTCTGATGTTCTTGTGGTTACCAAAGCCTTGAATTTTGTGCATGGAGAGATGTGACAGTTCTTTTCGGTTATTAAACTTTAACAAGAGGCTGGCATTTGAAGCCAGGCATGGTTTGTCCCCTCATCTGCTTTGTGCATAAAGACCCATATTAATTTATTATGAAAACCTAGACTTGATTGCTTGATCCTTAGAATAGTAGGTAATTTAAGTTTTCCTTTTCCTTTGAGAAAGCATTAAGCATTTCCTGAGTACCTCCTATGTGCTGGGGACTGTGCTAAGCTCCGAGAAGATAGTGGTAGAAGAGGGAGACCCTCTGTCCTTGTGGGGATTACAATCTCGCATTCAATAAATGAACAAAGCAGCCTTTGTCACTGCTGTGAGTGTCCCCCAAAGGAAGAAGCCTATACATAGCCAGAGGAGCTTCCTTAGCCTGGGGCTCAGGGCATCTCTGGGGAGCTGTTGTTTAAGCAAAGAGGACTGAAGGATAAGCTCAGGTTAGCCAGGGAAAGAGGAGAGCAAATAAATTTCCAAGCACAGAAAACAGCACGGGGCCTTGAGCAAGGAGGAAATATTAGCCATTTGAGGACCTGAAAGAAAGTCACCATGTGGCTCATGTATAGAGGTTGATGGAGAGCTGAATTGGCAACACCCCAGAACTGAACCCAGGTTCTGGAAGCAGCCCTGTAAGGTACAAGAACGAACTGAGAGCTTTTGGTTTCATCTTCAGTTGAATAGAAAGCTTGGAGAGATGATCCAATTTGCATTTGTAAAACATCCCTGTGGCTTCTGGTGGCAAGAAGACTAGAAATAGATGTGGAAGACCAGGTAGAAGGATACTACAGAAGTCCAGGTGAGATGGGAGTGGTTTGAATGATCCCTGTAGTCCTAGAGAGGGAGAAAATGAAACCGATTTAAGGTGTATTTGGAGGTAGGACCGATAGGACTTGGATTGGCTGGCCAGGGTCTTAGTGAAATTAATTAGCAGACAGAGGTGCCTTTTCTGTGACTGAACATGCTAGAAAATAACTACAAAAGTAATAATAAAGCAAAGACCTACAGCCTACCTAGATATGAATAAAGGACAGATAGCACAGAATTCCCAAAAGAGGAGATGAAATTGCCAGGAAATGTAAAACAATATGTTTATATTTAAGAGGTGAGATTAAAATAACAAGACATCATTTATCTATTATACAGGTAGATTGAAAAAAAAAAGCACACTAATTCCTAATATTGATGAAAGCAAGAGGAGTTGGTATGTTCATTACTTCTGGGAGAAATGTAGAAATGATAAAATATTTTATGGAAGTTATAATTTTTTTAATATTAAGCAATCTAGTCTAAGTACATACAAGGGGTGATCAAAATATATGATGACATAAAAAATTTTAAAAATTTATTACTGTAAAACACAAATTGCCATTAAACCCCTCAAAATACTCCTCCTCACTTTGAACATATTCAGCCCATTGTTTTTGCCACTTTTTGAAACAGTTCAAATCCTCTTTTGTAAATTTCTTTAGGAGATGTGACAAAAAAAAAAAAAAAAGTATGGTGAACATTCCTGCTGGGTGCCATCCAGCAGAAAGGCAAGCTCATAAAAATATTATAATGTGTCCTCATTCACCTCACTCACTGCATGCCGTTTCCCTAAGTCAAAGTGACCATGAAAGGTAAATGTTTTGAATTGGTTCAAGACATGGAAATAACCACCACAATAGCATGACTAAAGACCTTCTGGAAAGAGGGCTTTGAGAACTTTAAAAAGTGGGCAAGAATGATGAGATGTATGTTCAAAGCAATAGACAGTATTGTGAGGGACATTCGTGGCAATGGGTCACTTACTGTAGTAAATTTTTAAATTTAACACACACTGTATTTTTCAAACACACTTCATAGTCAAACAACCATACAAGAAATAGATACAAAATATTAAAGTCTTTCCACTAGTGAAAACTTGGGAACAACAAATACATTCATTAGTGGGGAACTAATTATATCTGTATTTACATCTATATAACCATTTAAAAGCAGGCCATTTTGCTAGATTAAAAATAGTATTTATAGATTGATCCTATTTTGTAAAGTATCTGTGTATTATGTAGATGTGTGTGAAAATTCTAATAAAAGGTCTACAGGGAAATATATTTGAAATAATAAATAGAAAAAATTGATAAGTATTAAAAAGAGAAAATGTTACCTAACTGCAGGGTGGCAGACTGTAATAAGGATGTGGGTAACTTTGGTTCAGACTGGCATGAGAAGGTTACAAGGGAGAGGTATCGTTGGCTTGGGAACTGTAAGCAGGGCTGTTTCTGTTTTCTGTCTAGCTTTGTAGTTCATATTCAGTGCAGAAATTAAGAGCTGTATGTGAAGGAGGTCTAAGCCATTTCTACAGGCTGTTCAGCCTGTTGGCTCTCTGGTCATAAAAAATTCATACCAATTAATTTTAAACCAGAGGACCGGAAGTGATAGCTTGGAGCTTTAGAAAGACCACTCACTGGACAACAGCTTCGATCAGCATCCAGCATGGTCACTTTGCCACTGTCCCGCTCTTCCCTGAGAGTTGGGATTTTGTCCCCATTTGTTGTGGCAATGGTGTACCTAGGTATTATGTTTCCGGCCCTTTCTGTTTCCTTGGTTACTATCTTGGATCTCTGAATAAAGAATCACTTTCAGTTCACATTTTTCTAAATTTGAGTTTAGAAATTGTGCAGCTTTTTTCCAAAATGCCCTTTTGGGAACTTAAATAGGTATTGATACGATCTACTCACTTTATGGAAAAACTGGCAGTGTAACAGAACAGGATAACTCCACATTGATTTTGAAATAGAATCTAATTAGTGTCCACATGCCAAAGAATTGCAAATTTGGAGTCAAAGGAGAGGCATGGAGGAAACAGAGCATACACAGGGAGCACTGGGTTAGAGGTGATGAGTCCAGGTTCCTTCATTTACTGTTTGATGTACAATCAAGTGTCAGGTGTTTTTGTTTTTTTCTTCTTTGACACATGACAGCCTAGGTTCTGGGATCACAGAAGAGTGAGGGACCTTCAACCAGTCTCCCCACAGTACAGTGAGGCCACAGCTGGGAGCTGGGATAGTACATGGATAGCATTTTAACTTTCAAAAGTTGTTTATTATAATAAGTATTAGGGATATATATGCATATATATAT